GGGGGTCCCAGAAGCCAAGAGGCGCCTGGTCGCCAATGAGACCCTCAAAGCCTTAGTTCACGTTCATTCTTAAGATACTCAAGTGACTTGAACATCCACTCTGATCCTATCCCAGCGATTCAATGACATGTGTTCTCCTTTATCGTATACTGCAAGCCTACTGTAAAGCTTTCTCCTGGGTGACTGGCCAGTCTTTGGCTTGTTGAACTCGGGGAGTGTGTTGTAGCCGGGGCTCATCTTTCCACTGCGCAGTGGGGAGTCAGTGTAGAGAGCCCAATCACCCCACGCGGATCCGGTGAGGCCATCTTGGAAGAACCTCTTCAAACAGAACGGGAAGGAAAACCAGCACAGCAAAAACACATAAAAACACTGTGTCATGCTTCACAAAAGGCAAATTCCCGAATCATGTAGGCAACAATGGTGCAGCTAAGTAACATTCCAATGATCGCCATCATGGCCAAGCGGCCGTTGGCCAACTCAGCGGACAGCTTCTTCTTGCGTGCCTCCGGATTGGTCACCGGTCCAAAGAAGCCAAGGCCCAGGTTGCCCTTGCCATAGTTGCCCGGCTCATCACCAACCTCTGTTCTCTGTTATCATACTGAATATAGAATAGCTGAATATAACAAGCTTCAATTCACGCAAGAGTGACGGTCTGAACTCCTAAACGGACCATGTGCACACATGCAAAAATAGTTGTACATATATATATATATATATGTTTGCGGTTGTGGTGCTGGCTTGTTGATGAAAAGCTCATAGGTTCCCAAGAAGGCAACGATCTGTGCCCAGCCCTGGCCTGGGACCTGCATTGCAACGCTTCGCTCGCAGATTCACATCTAGACTCGGTCCATCAATACAAGCTGTGAAAACAATGTATGCTTTGCGAACTGGCAAAACAATCACAACCAATCCAATGCCTTGGTCAGAGCGGCCAACCCGTTTGGGATGTCAGTGAACTTGAGGCCAAGCTTGGGGGAGAGCTCTCCAGGGAACTTGAAGTACTCAGGCACGATGTATCCCATGCAGGCGAACATGGAGATCCTCAGGGCAGTCACTTCAATCTAGAGACGTAGAGAACCCCTTTGTTGTGACAGCAACATTTCTGCATATCTGCTCCGCTCCTGCCGTGCTTCAGCTCAACCTCGCGACGGCGCTGGAAGACTTCCAAGTCACCATCAGCGGAGAGACCCAAGGGATCCCAGAAGCCCACAGGGGGCTGCACCTGGGTCCGTTGACGACATGGTAACTGACGTCAACATGATAGCTTCCGCAGAAATCCAAATTTGTCCAAATGTTCTTCGTAGAGATCCCACTGATGTTGTCAAAAGGAAGGAT